CCGATCGCCATTTTTAAACATGTTTACTTTTTATAGAATTTGCCAAAGTCCCAAAAACTTGCCCAAATGCTTATTTGACTCCTGGAGTCTCTCTAATACAGTCTATTGCCACTTGAAACTCCACCCCCACTACAAAGGCTTTTCTTTAATCGCTTATTTGTTCTTTCCGGGGGGAGAGTCCCCTCCCCCCCTCGCTTTTAGTAAAAGGGGACTCACTCATTCTCTGGTGTTCTCACTTTAACGGACTCACTCTTCAACGTCTGATCACTCAGATCTTGCCAGGTAATGATTTCAACGCTGTACCTCCAAGCACTTGTCCCGGTGTGCGTAGCTTAGTCCCATTCGGGAACACAGCGCAGAGACCTTCGGGGCAAAGGGAAGCCTCAATCTGCCGGCAGCGTGCCTGCAGAGAGGCGCCCCTTAGCGCCCCTTGGCAAGGGACCTATCGCAAGAGTCCCAGGGGGGCGTGGACATTCGCACCCCCTCTCATTGTGCTGGTCCGCAGATTGCCCCCCATGAACTCCCTGGGGATGCGGCTGCCATCAGTCCACCAAAACCGGAAGTCTGGCTCACACATTTTTGTCTCCGCTCAGTCTCCAGAGCAAACTGATTTATGCAGCAGCCAAATTTCCCACTCACAACCTCAATGCCAGTAGCTCACAAAGTAGAATTTTTGCTCACAAGACTCCACAGCTTAGAGGGAGCATTGCCTGGATGGCCCAGGCTAGCCTGATATCATCAAATCTGGGAAACTAAGCAAGGTCAGCCCTAGTTACTACTGGATGGGAAACTAAGCAAGGAAAATCCAGGGGTGCTATGCAGTGGCAGGTCATGGTCAACCACCTCTGAACATCTCTTGCCTTGAAAACCTTATGAATTTGCTGAGACTTAAGACACTTCTCACACACACACACACACACTTCACAACAATGGACTTGCTCACATGAACTTCATGTTCATGCTGATGCTGTAATTCTCTCCTCCCCCACATTCTGGAAGCTCTCCCCTGAATCCAAGACATCCACTCCACACTTCCACTGGAATTGTCTACTTCTTTAATGGCTCTTCTGAACATATTATTGTTCATGAAGTGGTTTTTGCCTCATTAACATTCAACTGTGATCTGACATTCCAAAACACAAGTTCTCCTGACTACTATGAACCAGTGACTGAATGATTCACTGGACTCTGAGAACAAGATTAAATTTTTAGGGCCTGAAGTTCATTACAGTCAACTTCTTTCCTCATAGCAGCATAATCCTATATATTCTTTTTATATATGTCCTTTTATATATATAAAAATACTAGCGTATTGGCCCTTTCCAGCTCTCTCATTGGCTGTGCGCTTCATCAGTCACTGGCCTGTAAACCACCACGCAAGAGTACTCACGTGCTATAGTAGCTGTTTGTACATTTGGCTTAAGACCTCTGGTCAATGAAGCTAATAAATGAAAGGAAAAGGAGTACTCACATACCATTGGCTGGGTGCTGGGTCCACTCCTCTCCCCTGCCCACTGCCGGCTTGGCCACTCTTCCCTGTCTGAATAAACTGCCCAAACGGCTGTCTCTCCTGACGAAGATGCTTCTACTGCTGCTGTATCGCTCCTCCACATCTGCCTGGCTACTGAAACAGCTGTTCCCTGCTCAGGAAGAGGCTTCTCCTGCTACCGCTTCTCCTGCTTGGCTTCTCTGCAGCTGGCTGGCTACTGAGGTGAGCCATCGACCATCAAACCATTCTCTCCTCCTGCTGTGGGGCTTTCTTACCCCTCAGTGGCTGTTGCCAGGCAACCAAGCTTAGTTCTGTCAATAAAAAGGCAAGGGCAGGAGGCCCTTTCCAGGCCTACTTTGGCCTTTGTGGGGAACTCATTGGGGCCAGTCCTGACTAGGGTTGCTAGCTCCAGGTTGGGAAATTCCTGGAGATTTTGTGGTGGAGTCTATGGAAGCTAGAGTTTGGGGAGGGGAGAGGCCTCAGCTGAATAGAATGCCATAGAGTCCACCCTCCAAAGCAGTTATTTTCTCCAGGGGGAGAGAGATCTGTTGTCTAGAGTTCAGTTGTGATACCAGGTGATCTTCAGGCTCCACCTGGAGGTTGGCTACCTTAGGTCTGGCAGCACCCTCTGGGTGACTTGATGGCACCTGACTGACATAACTTAACTAGGCCTGGCTGCTTGCTCCTGTTCACCAGCAGCAGCCCCCTTGGGTAGTCAGTGTGGTGTAGCAGTTAGCGCTTCAGAGCAGGGTCTGCAAGACCCAGGTTATTGCTGTAGAAGCTGACTGGGTGATTTCAGACCACTCACAGACTTTCAGTCTAACCTACCTCACAGGGTTGCTGTGCAGATCAAAAGGGGAAGAGAATGTTGTGAGCTGCTTTGGTCTCCATTGCGAAGAAAGACTGTACTTTTCCTAGATAGAGGCTGCAGAGGGGGGAGAGGAGAGGGAAACCTGAAGTCAGAGGGGCAGATAATAGTATGTTGATAGTTGGCTGGGGAAGAGCTAGGGTTGCCAACTCCAGGTTGGGAAATTCCTGTAGAGTTGAGGGTGGAGCTTGGAGAGGCTGGGGTTTGAGAGGGGTGGGACCTCAGACAGGTGCAATGCCATAAACTCCACCCTCCAAACCAGCCATTTCTTCCTGGGGAACCATTGTTGCCAATCTGCAGGTGAGGGCTGGAATTACAACTACTCTTCAGATGGCAGAGATCAGTTCCCCTGGAGAAAATGGTGGATTCTGTGTCATTATACTCTGCTGAGGTCACCACAGCAAACTGACACTGAGTGCCCAAGGCCAGGGCACCTGCCCAGAGCCTCTTTCTAGAGCTCGTATTTTTTTCCACAACGGGCCTTATTCCAAGTCTATTATAAATTTACAGTGTAATTCTAATCAGAGGGCTTTTCTGCACAGTCAACTTACTCCTGATTTTCTTGGCAGTCAATCCACAAGCATTGGAATCAGTTTGAGCATGGCCAACAGTAATGGATGCCTAGAAGATTAATCTGTACACATCTTGAAAACAATGCAGTGATTAATAGAAGTTGCCCCAGAAGGTCAGACCAGAATCAGCGGGTTGAAATTAAATCAGAAGAGTTTTCGGCTACACATGAGGAAGAACTTCCTGACAGTTAGAGTGTCCTCAGTGGGCTTCCTCGGGAGGTGGTGGGCTCTCCTTTTCTGAAGGAGGTTTCCAAACAGAGGCTAATTGGCCATCTGACAGCAATGCGGCTTCTGTGAACTGAGGCAGATCATGAGAGGGAGGGCAGGAAGGGTTGCCTCAGTGCTTAGTTCTTGTAGCCCTTTCTTACCTGCCCAGGGAAATGCTGATCGCCACTTTGGGGTCAGGAAATAATTTTCTGCAGGCCAATTTGACAGGGATCCTGGAAGGCTCCTCCCCTGTTCTGGGCATACAGCAGGGGTCACTGGGGGTGTGGGGGAGGTATTTGTGAATTTCCTGCATTGTGCAGGGGGTTGGACTAGATGACTCTGGAGGTCCCTTCCAACTCTATGATGGATTTGTCAATAATAAATCCTGCGGGGAGCACGTGGGGTGCCAACGGTAATGGATGCCTAGAAGAATAGCTCCGATCTCCTCTCACTCTTAAACCCTTAAATCATCAGTATAAACTACTTATATGACAACAGCTCATGGGCAAACATCACCCAGAGGTGGTGGCTTCATCATCGAGGTCTCAAAAGGATTTAAAAGACTCTAGTAAGAAACCAATTGGGGTTAAAAAATCGAGCAGTGAAGAGAAGAGCTCAGGTGACATGGTGGCCGGGGATGTCTCCACAAACTTGACAGTTACACCGCCGGCTGACAACGAGATGGCGGTAAGAGTAGAGGCTATGGAGAAAAAAATCCTTGAGAGTATGACTGCCCTCATTAGTCCTCTAGCTGAACAATTCGCTAAATTTAAAATAAGCTTGAATAAAGTAAACCAGACAGCAGAAAATGTGAAATATTTAAGCCTTGCCCTGAAATAGGAGGTGACCTCTCTCCGCATGGAAAATAGCCACCTCAGAGACCGTGTGGTGGCAGTGAAAACTTCTTCCCGCCTAAATACTTTGTGTATTTGCTGAGCACTCAAATGATCACATTAACCTAACAAGCTTTGTTGCAGAATGGCTAGGTAGAAGACGGGGTCATTCCAATAGTC